TTGAGGAAGAATTTTTTTCCGCTTGTTGACTTTTCGCGGTTTTTCCTGTTTCACATTTCCTATCTAGCCCTGCCGCTCGACGGAGCAGATTTCCGGGAAATTTCGGAGAAAAATGGTAGGAAGCTGGAAACATGTAGGAAAGTGGTAGCTAGGTGCTGGGAAAGGGGGGAGGCCGTACCGAGACCCTCTCTCAGGGGGGGGGTCGCACTGATACCACCATGTCACACATCCCGATGCTGGCACTGGAAGAGACATCAAGTATGGTGGCTAGCTAGACAAGATCGTGGGTCGTGCGATGACGAACTTTTCTTCTTTCTTTGTCGCTCGTTCTCATGGGAATATACGAGAATAACTAGTACATAACCTGTGAAACTCTTCACTATATATTTTCACACGCACCCGGAAAGAAGAAGAAATAATTGTATGAGAGTTCGGGATCTAGCTGCGAACCGAATACAAGTCCTCCTGTGTTCCCCCGATCTCAAAAGTTCCTCTTCTCTATCAGGGCTTAACATTTCGAAACGAAAGGGAATTATGATCATCGTTCATCCCAAAGTAAGGGATCGAAACGAGAAAATCCTCTGCTGCCCATCCGAAACAACGAAGCATACATTTCTGGCTGTTGTTTGAGTTACTGCAGAGACAAAAACCCAACAGAAGACAAACTGAAGCCAGCACTAGTAGCAGGATTACAAAAATGAACCCGAATCTGTATTGCCTGGACTTTATACAGATTCAACAAAGTCTTAGATGAGCGGTCATGTTTCAAGATGAGTGAGATAGTGCTTGAGGTTCGAGAAATGCCTCGTGAGGACGGATCGGATAAGAGGAGTGAGAGCGGTTATGTTGCGAGTAGGTGGATGAGTGGAAGAGGAAGACCAGACAGCAACTTCTTGGCATCAGTCTCTAGGGAGTGAGAAGCTTGAAAAAGGCATAGGTTTCCGAGGGGAAGTCGCATGCGCATCGTCAACGCATCGGGGCCAAATTGATAGCATTTTTAGCTCAATAAAGCCCTAAAATTCAGTACCATCAAAGTGCAATGGGTCTAATCTGTGTTCTCTAAAGAAATCAAAAATCGCATTCTGTGCTCAAGGGAACTTTAAAAGATTGAAGAACGAAAGACAGGGGCATGAAGCTTGCCGTCTGCTACTCCTGCGAACGAATTAACGGCTCATGTCGGCAAGTGGCGAGTGAACAGCGATATTGCCCGTAATTGAGCCGCATATTTTACCTTGCATGCAACGTTTAAGTGCAGTTTACGACGCTAATTTGCTCTGAAAGTCGACGACACGCGCCGCTGCTCAGTGATGCGAATGCTAACATCGAATAATGCCAGAAGAGGAACAAGAAAAATGAAAGTGTGAAATCATAAAAAGAAGCGTATCTGAGCCATTCAACCAGTTCAGGAGACTCACAGAACGATCCTCGACACAGGATATCCTATAGATATTTTGATAGAGAACTGTCTCCAGTCCAGGGCACACAATCGTTGAGGGCTCCCCAACAGGGAGGGGCGTATTTGGTCTGGGAAAAAATTTTGATTTTTCTTGTTCAGGGACGCTATGAAGGGACGTATCTGCTCGTTGTTGGGAGAGAGAGTCGTATTTTCGTAGCGGTTTTCCTGCCATCCGCGCTCTCGGCTGCTCGATAAGGAGGGATGTAGAGGAGGGGGGGGGTGTACGGACTTGACCAAAATCCCCAACCACTGATGTGCTCCGCTCCAGTCCACCTCCAACTCAGCAAATCGATCGAATTACAGTGTTCTGGGATATAATCGATCGTGTGCGGCTCCGTTGACCACCTTCATGATAATTTATACTTAAAGGAATCGGGATGTCTGTGCCCTTTCAGCTGCACGGTTCGCCCATCCCTTCCCCCCCCCCTCCTAAGCATGCTTTTCTGAGATTTTAATTGCGTCAGTGAGACCGAGGCCTCAGCCATTACAAAACCTGGTCGAGCAGTTATGAAAATGATCCAACAAATACTGTGTTAGCAAATCGAAAGGACTACTGGACTGGTCTGCAGAAAAGCCTCTTCGAAAGGAGATTCAAGAGAGACGTGCCAGGTTAGTGCGCCAGGGGCCTTATTCGCCGGCCCGACCCCGCCCTTCAAATATCGTCGCTTTGTGAGAAATACGGTAGTTCGTACACTTGGTGGCGTGCAGTGAGCCTGCCCAGGCTCGTAAAAATCTTCAAGGAGGAAAACTTCTTGGGTGGCTACTTTTTTGTTTCCTGTGTGGCCACTTGGCGACGGCGGTTTCCTTTTCAATCTCACTACCCACATGCTGCAATCGTGCCCTTAGCGGAGAATCCTACCGTAGTAGGGCGCGAGTCGTGGGACGTCAGCAGTAAGACTGGTTGCTGCAACTTGGGCACCTTCTGATGAAAAAAGCTGAAGCAACCCCTGAACCTTCAAAACAAGGCCCCATTTTGTACAGTTGTTTCAAGCATTGTACAGGCATACGGTGAATAGGGACTGGAGCCCGGGCAAGAGTCCATGCAATGAAAAGACTAGAAAGCAGAAAGATCAGCACGGCGACAGACATCAATGCATTCACCAATTACTTTCATTTCGGGGTAAAGTCAGGACTTCAAATTATCTCCAGCACGGAAGCAATCGCTTCACTCTACACATGAAAATGGGTTCACATCCGCTTAGTGGGGACAAGATATTTTGTTAAATCCTGTCAAAAAACCGGACAATTTTCTAGATCCTTGTGAACTCTAGTAAAGCTGCGAAATTGTAACACTTTTATTGACCATTATTCTTACCCCCCCCCAAAGTTTTTTTTACCTTGGATAGCATTAAGTATTAAAGGCAGAATTCGCAATGAGCTAGCAAAAACTCATTGGTATCGAGGTCAAAAATAGACATGTACGTGCCAACTTCATTCGTCGTGCATAAAAAAAACTAAAGGAAACAGTCGAAAACGCCCAAAATCACGCTTTCTCCTGTGATTTTCCCCGAGAGACAAAAAATCGATGTGGTCCTTCTGCGAGAGGTCAGACAAGAACGGCGAGAGAACACGCAAACGAGGAAGACAACAGATAAGATATCTATCAGTGTGGGCGGAGTCACTGACTTTCTGGCGGAGTCACTATGCAACCTTGTCCTTTTCGCCGCTACCTTACAATTTTCTGACGCGAAACTTTACAAGGTTGCTCGTTGCGGTTTCCTTCATCTTCTCCTTCAGAAAGCTCAGATACTTATAGATGATCTTGCGCTGAGCCTTTAGCAAGTGCGAAACTATAGTGAACCAGTGGATTTATCAAGCCTAAGGAGAAGAAGCTCCAGGGTGGGTATACCAACACCTCTACGCAAAAATGAATTTTCCTCTGCGTAAGTAGTGATATTCCTGTCACACAGTCACAATCGTTTCTTCGCAGCGCCCTTCCCCCCTTACCTTTGCTGGCTTATTTGGGTCTACTATGGTTTCACAACAAAACGATTTCGGCGAGGGGGGGGGGGGGCATTTCGTACCTTCACTGCTTTACTAGTTCCTGTGCACAAGTTCCACCTTGAACCTGTGAACTACTGTGAAGCTGGAGCAAGCTCGTCTAGCCACCATGGTAAAACCCGTCAACTCTTGTCTTGCTCATGAAAGAGCTCTCTAGATGGCTCGGAGTGCAAAATGCCCCCCGTCGCCGAACTGCTCCAGAATTCGTACCATAGCTTTACAGGAAAATACAGGATCACAACATTGGTGGTATGCTGACGAGGGCTTACAGAAGGACCCCCTTAGCCAACTAGCGCCTGGAAATGTGATGTTTTTCTGTGGCATGGCGAGTCTTAAAAGATAAATCAGAGAGAAATGGCTAGAAGTTCATTGAAAAGCAATCGTAAAACTGTTTTCACTCATGGCTAATGTAATCCTGATTTAATCAACAAGGCCGTCATTCGTAGGTTGTTTACTTGAAGCAGTCGAGAAAGCATGAAAGACACCCTGAGATGGACTGACTCGTACAAATTATGTATGTCACGCTCTTTCGAATCTCTAACAAAACAAGCATCGCATGCGATGCTCCAAAAATACCCATAAAAATGTCTTTCGAGTCTGAGAATCAGGGAGGCGGTGTAGAACTTGGTAGGCATATTTGGCGCTGTTCGGCTTGGGAGGGGCACTTCTACTTTCGCTAGTTCATGTTGACTAAGGTGTATAATTTGATGAAATTTGCAAAGTCTTGTGAAACTGCGAAATGGTACAAATGAGCCGCTTTGCTTACAAAAGGTCACAGTTCTTCGCAAGACCTCTACAGTATCCGCTGCATACCATTTAATGCCCCACCGAGCCGAATGCACCGAATTTTTCAATGGAAAAAGAAAATGCCGAGTTAAATGGGGCTAGGGTCATGCTGGTACACCTCTTTCCAGTTATCTATAAGGCTTTGAAGCTTTTCTATTTTTGTTACGTCCTGGTTGCATAAAAGTTTCCGGCCCACCCCAATCCCTTCTTCTCAGCTGCAAAAATGACAGACACAGTCAGCCTCAAGCTGAATGTAGTTAGTCTTGTTGCATCATGTACAGTTCATATCCCGAGGATGGGGAGGGCGGGTCTCAAGCAGAAGTGAGCGTAGCGGAGTGGTGTACGTAATAGGCGCATAGGAGGAGCACACGAAAGGGAAGTTGCCTGAAAGTTGTTCAGATGTAACTTGTCCACTTGGACGCGATTATCACTTTTACATGACGTGCCAGGAGATGGGATAAGGAGGAGGGGAAGAGGGGAGGGTAGACGTGACAGCACGGCTTGCTTCTGCTTACCTGCACCCTTACCGCGAATAGTGATCCACCCTTGGCTCTGCCGAGGATAAACCTTATCAAAAAAATGATCGTTACCGCTGGCACTTAAAAAGAATGCTGCCTTTTCTGGCCGTGTTTCCCTAATTGCTCTAGCATCGCGATCGGTACAAACCGCCTGGAGTCGGGGCTACGGAATAGGCATGGGGTACCGTCGCATTTGATGCGGGACCAGGATCCGGGCTGAGCGGACTCGTTTTCGAAAGATCAAATTACTCGTGCAAACAAGTTTTCAACTGAATCTCCCTCCGGAGGAAAAAGTCGGTAAAAAATTTGCCTGATTTTATAAGAGTGGGGCAGAAGGTCGAATAATAGCGAAAATTCGACACAGCTCTCACAGCTCGCTGCCTCAACTGACAACTATCTGCTTACAGATACGCGAACGCTGCAGCGCTCACCTCACTCCACATCCCTGCGATGGAGTAGGCGTGGCTGCGTTCGTCACATAAACAAGACATAGGATGCATTTTTGGGGTGTTTCCACCTGATACAAGTATGATTCTGTCTTCTACTGAACAAAGTCATACTTGCCACTGTTTTTAAACTGCAATATTCCTCCAGAAGCGCAGCTGCCACCAAGTGCAAATGAACGATGCATTCACGGACTCTCCATCTCTCGGAGTATATAACAAGGCTGAGACGCTCACCTCGTCTCTGGGATATGGTCTACACTTTGAGACACACTGAGAAATCGCGTGGCCAAGTGTGATTCTTCGCCTTGCCAACAGTGGTCGAGAAGTTCTATCGCCCTATTTCTATTTCCGACTAAGTTAGATCTGACAGGCTTTTTCAGGCACTGAGCCGCATCTACGAGAGAAAAATCCGATTATCGAAAAAAAGGAAAGTGAGATTTTGCACTTCTCCGATTTGCAACTGCAGGAGCTCCGGAACTATGGAATCGATGGCCTAGTGAAGCGTCGCGCACGTGTAGTGGATCATGATAGCCACTGTTTGCTGGCTTACATGTATGCATGAGCAGTAAAGCTGAATTAAAGTTGCGAACTTTAGGCGTGAGACTTTCGGAACAACCTCATACTTGAAAAAGAGGTTAGAAAATTAGGGTCAGTTCGGCGATTGGAGGAAGGGTGGGAGGTCACTTTGCACTTTTGCTTCTTCCCATTGACGTGTGGACTCATCTAGAGAGCTATTTCATGAGCTCACAAGAGTTCACAGGTTTTGACGTTCTGGCTCTAAAAGCTTGTTCCAGCTTCACAGGGGTTCACAGGTTCCACCAAAGTGAGACTTGTAACCGGAACTAGTGAAGTAACGAAAGTGCAAAATGCCCCCCCCCCGTCGCCGAACTGTGCCGGAAGATTTCTTCCTGAAACGATTGCTGCAATCTCAATGATCTCTTTCAGATAAACTTCAAGCTGATTTCTTTGAAGCCAATGCGGTCGGGATGGGAGCAGTCCCATATCCGATACAATACAACGGTCGTTTTTATTGTTCCATCGAGGCACGCACCCCGCAGGTTTCTGGAGGAAAGTTTCCAAAATCTAATGGACCAAGAACACTCAGAAATCATGTGCTTTCCAAAGTGTGGGTTAAGAGCGGCCCCGGTAACGTAATGAATATCGCAATCGCCTGGTAAGTGGGAGATGCGGTGTCCATAACTCAGCACTCTTGTGCAAACTTTCCGAATTCGGCTGCGACCCACCCGCAATCTCTGCAGAGTTCTACGGCCAGTAGGCGGTAAGATCCGAAATCATCACGTAAATGATGAAAAATTACTGAATTGATGAAAAAAAAGCAGTAAACGATCATTGAATTGATGAGAAAAAAAACAAACTCACGGACGACACCTTGACTGACCCTATCGGGGATACAGTCGCAGTTGGCGAAGAGGGCGAATAGCAGCGAGTCGGACAGCGCACGCAACGGACCGATCCGACGCGCGCGCGACACCAACGCGTCCATAGCGCGTCGCGCGCCTATAATAAATAACCAATAAATTCAATTCTGTTCACTGTAGATAACATAAAAGGAGAGAAAAAGATGAGTGAGTGGCGGAAGCTGCAAGCATTGCCCGCTCAAACCACATCGCTTTACAAATTAACGAGGATGTTCAATTTGAAAATCGGACTTGACAGGGAAATTCTCGGAAAGATGGATCTGCCTCAAAAGCGGTGACATAAGCGATTCTTTGAAGGCCATAAGGAAAAGCTTGCAAGTCCATTTTGGAGAGTGGTGCAAGGTGCAACGTGGCCAAAAATTCAGGATACTCGTATAAATGAAATGCTCACAAGGCAACCTTTAATTTAGTTCAATCAAAGGAGTACGGGATCTATAAGTTGGCTCGCCCTTCAACCCGAGGTCGAAAAACTGGAACCGATGGTAGGATGATGTGCTCCGAACAGAACATTCTTGAGTTCAAAGCTGCAACTGACAGCAATGAGTGTGCTATCTTTTACTTCACCGAAATTGCCTTTTACACCCTCAGCTTTGAGCTGAGTGAGCTCCTTTACTGCTTTGAAAGCGAATCTGATAATGACTGTTTATTCTATCATAATCTCACATCTACTTTTTTCCTATTCTTGACATTCAGTTTTAAAGAGAACAAAGATGTACGGGCGATAGAAGCATATCTGCACAGGCAATGTTTCTCTGCACAGAACTAAAACTAGATTATGAATCCAAGCTGAGTGTCTGTGTCTGCTCGGTGGCAATGTGGTCTTGAGCACCCACCGGCTAAGCTTATTTAGTATAGTAATAATACAGCAAGCGGAGGTGGTGTAGTGACAAGTGGCGCGCTTACCACTCGCGCGGCGCCGGGTTCGAATCCCGGGTCGACACCCGCCCAGGCCAACCAAGCCTTCTACCCTCCGGGACGGTAAATTGGTACCAGATTCGTCTGGGATAAACACTGACTTGTACATCGGCTGGCCACCGCAAGTCATTGTATAGGCCACATCGCATTCAATAAGCCACTACGATTCTGAATGGAAGTAGAATGCGTGCCGCATCCCACAAAGGGATTGATCAACGGCGAAGACTTTATCCTTTTATCCTTTAATAATACACAACAAGAATTAGGGTGTGCACATTGAGGATAGGGGAAGACCTTTCATGATGCTATTAGGTTGGCGGGAAAGTTCTGTCACATTTTTTCAAACAAGGCTTTCTTTTTATAGAGAGGCGTACAAGATCAAAATTATACAGCAATGTCATTGCGGAATCCCTGCCAGTTTTCGAGCACTTCGTGCATGCCATCGCTTCACAATGGAGGCTGAGCCACGACGCAATGTTGGACATCATCTCAACTTTGACTTGGGCTCAAGTCGTGGAGGTTTTCTCGGCTGTGCAACGGTTGAATACAGGAGTTGACTAGCAGCCAGAAAGAGCAATGTCTGGACTACATCATTGCAAGGGGAGAGCCATCCAGCTCCATTGCATGAAGTACGGCTCGAACTTCTTTTGACGGGGTGTGCTGCACCAGCACGTTGAAGACGGACTGTGCCGATGGATTTTGCCCTCTGCTTGACGATTCGCTTCAGATCTCGTAGCTGCCTTGCGTACGGATTAACCGAGGAGACAGCTTCTTTATACAGTAGTTTCCCGGCCCACAGCTATCTCAAGCTGAGATCACAGGTACTCCCAAACATCACTTCGCCATTCGCACCGTAGCCTCCCGCTCTGAAGAGCCAGCGTCGTGGAAGATTGTCAGATGACTGTAGACATTGTCCATGTGCAGCTCCGTTATTTCGGCGTCGACAGCTGTCATGCTGGCGCCAGGGCGGTAGAAGAAAGAGTTTGAGGAAGCACTTGGAGGGGTCGGTGCCAAAGGCTAGCGGATAACATTCTTGTTCATATTGCACGATAAGGAGAGGCAGGAGTCAAGCCAGTGATACCAATAGAAAGACCATTCTTTGATGTATAAGTGCTCATATTACCGGTTAACGCTTTTCAGAAAATTAGCAAATATTTTGGGTTCAAAAATATATGACAGAACTTTCCCGCCAACCTAATAGATGCCAGGAGCGTGTACCTTTCGACCGGCTTAAGTCTTACAATATTCAAAGGGCAATAGCCCACGATAAACTCCAGCGTCGTGTAGAACCAATACGTCTACCAGGACTGAATTCCGTGCCCCTGAGCAGGCGCTGTAAGGCGCTTTTTCCGAGGAACGTACTCTTCCTATAGCGCTCCAGCAAGTTGCAACATTGAGACCCGCCCACCCACAAATGTCCGACCGATCCTGATCGCTTCATTTGCGAAGTACAATATGAAGCGAAGGGATTGATATGAAGCGGCTGCGGTGCTGCATGGATATATGAGTACATACATGCAGCCGTATCTACCGTAGCGGTTACTGGCACATGCCAACGGGGAACTCACCCGAAACTGCTTCCTGATTGGTGTAGAAAAAAGGTTTTTTTGCAGGTTTTTGACCGTCTCATTTGGCTTTTTCGCCATTTTCCCACTAAGTAGCACCCCTGCTACCATTTCAGGCCGAGTACCAGCTTATCGTCCCTTATGCCTTCGAGTGGGATCTGAAGATCTGCAGGTAAATCAACGCAGAATATGTGTGTTGTTACAAGCTTAACAAATTAAGTGAAAACTAGCTGTAGGTCCCAAAAATTGTCTGAGGTGAGATATTGTGCACTTATAAAAAATAAGCAATGAATTAAGTAGGAAATGCGGCCACAATACAGCCATACATTCATAGTAAGTGAAGGAAGGATGGAAATCCTTGATCAGGGCACAGCATTCGATGAGGATTTTGGTCGAGCTTTTACGACCCCCTCCCCCATAGGAAATCCCCATCGAACGCTGTGCCCTGTCCTTGATAGCTGGGGAAGGTGTGTGTTGGCGGCACAGCAGCGGATCCCACGTTGCCGTCTCACAATGAATAACGGCCGTTCGTAGCCTTCATCGGCGTCTGGCATCGCCTACGGGCAGTCAATCAAAATTTTACGAGCGTTTCAAATCGGGTGGTCTCAGCGTTAATGAAAGTGGGGACGTTGACAAGTGCAGTGCTTTCGCCCTTGCAATAGAGGCTTTTCTGGTCTTGGTGAAATGGTGAAAGAATAGCGGGGTAGGGTGACTGA